CTCCCTGGCGGACCCCTCTGGGGGTCCTGTTCTTGCCCACTACTCCACTGTACTACTGTGTCCAGCGGTCCCGTCTGGCTCCCTGTCAGGTCTTTACCTCCCCTCGTTCTCTACGAACTTGGTGGCGGGTGCTGACCTACAGGATGGGGTTGTTGACCAGTTCACCCCTGCGCGTCAGCGGGTGACCCACTGCACGTGTGCGGACACGGGCCGACACTTGGCCACGTTTACCCGTCGGCCGGGGTCGAGCCTGTACACCCTGACTACCGAGTCTCCTCCGATTGCTGTGCCTGGTCAGGTAGCAGCGTCGGGTCAGGTGTTTGCTGCAGCGTCTCGGTCTGGTCCTGAGTCTGCCCCCTGCTCGTGTCGCCTCCTGTCCCATGAGACTCTTCTCTGGCACCACCGTCTTGGTCACCCCTCCCTGCCTCGTCTTCGAGGCATGGCCTCTCGTGTCCTGGTCTCTGGTCTCCCCCGGTCGCTCCCTCCCCTCCCTCCGGGGCCTGCCCCTACCTGCGTCCCCTGCGTCGAGGGGCGGCAACGCGCCGCTCCTCACTCCTCCGAGTTTCCGCCGACAGAGGCTCCGCTGCTGAGCCTTTGGAGGTCACTTCCGACACCTCTGGCCCACCTGAGGGGGGTGACGCTGTTGCTGACGCCCCGGCGGCCTACCGCCGCGCACCACGCTTGGAGACCCCTCCGGGGTTCCCTCCGCGACCTTCTTCGCCGCCTCTGCAGCCGGTTACTGTTGACTCTGGTGCTGTTGGGGGTGGTGCTCCTGGAGGTGCTGCGTCTGGGGGTGCGGAGTCTGGGGGTGCTGAGCCTGCGCGTGAGGAGACTGGAGGTCCTGCGCTTGGGGGTGCTGTGTCTAGAGGTACAGAGCCTGCGTGTGCGGAGTCTGGGGGTGCTGAGTCTGGAGGTGAGACGCTTGAGGGTACTGGGACTGCTGGTGCGCGGCCTACTTGGAGTGGCCGCCTTCGTCCGCGTGTGCCTCTCACCACTCAGCAGCTGCACGACTGGTACGGTCGCCGTCAGCGTCGCGCTGCTGGAGCCCGGGGCTCTGCTGCTGGAGGTACTGGAGCTGCTGGGGCTGGGGGTGCTGCGCCTGGAGGTGCCGTTGCTGGAGACACTGAGGCTGGAGACCCTGGGACTGGAGGTGCTGGTTCTGGGGGTGCTGCTGCGGGAGACAGTGCGGTTGGAGACCCTGGGACCGGAGGTGCTGGTTCTGGGGGTGCTGCTGCGGGAGACACTGCGGTTGGAGACCCTGGGACTGCAGGTGCCGGTTCTGGGGGTGCTGCTGCTGGTGACGCTAGTTCTGGAGCTACTGGCGCTGGAGGTACCGGTTCTGAGGTTAGAGCTTCTGGAGCTACTGGAGCTGCTGGAGGCGCTGGAGCTGCTGGAGGTGCTGGAGCTGCTGGTACTGGTGCAGCTGCGCCGACACGAATATTCTTCGCTCTGCCGTCTCCGTCGTCTCTGCCGCCGCCTGACTCTGCTCTTCGTCAGGTTGTTACTCTACCGTCGTCTACTGGTCTTCCGTTACAGACTGGCTCACCGCTACCTGCTCCCTCTCCTTACACTAAACAGACAGGCAGTCCTGCTACGCGTCGTGAGCCTGCGTCGCGTCCTGTCTCGCCTGTTCGTTCTGGTCGTACCGTTCGTCGTGTCGCTCGTGCGCGTCAGCCGGCTGTCCCCAGCGCACACCTTGTTGTCCGTCGTCCTTCCTCTGCTCCGCAGCCTGTTCCTCTGCCGTCTCCCCCTGCGTCCTCTCTGCCTGCCGTTCCGGACCCTGAGTCTGACCGGTTTCGTACTGAGCACCCTACTGTCACGCGTCTCCTAGCCACTGTTGTCACTGACCCGTCGTTTGAGTCTACTGCTGCGTCTGCCTTGGTCGCTGAGCTTGTTGACTTTGCTGCTGCCTGTCGTCTAGACTACGCCGCTAGTCTTGTTGCTGAGTCTGAGTCTGTCTGTCCTCCGTCCGTCGGGGGTGAGTGTGCTCTTAGCACGGACGTCCTTGAGGACAGGCAGGAGGAGTTCCAGTGTCTTGCTGCTGCTTTACCTCATCTTGTGTCCTCGCTACTTGCCCCTGAGGGAGACCCGGATGCACCAGACATCCCGACTCCGCGTTCTTACGCGGAGGCGATAGAGGGTCCCTACTCCTCTCAGTGGCAGGCAGCCATGGACGCAGAGATGGCTTCATGGAAGTCCACAGGCACCTACGTTGACGAGGTTCCCCCACCTGGGGCGAACATCGTCAGTGGCATGTGGATTTTCAGGGTGAAGCGGCCGCCGGGTTCTCCGCCTGTCTTCAAGGCGCGTTACGTGGCTCGAGGCTTCAGTCAGCGGCAGGGAGTTGACTACTTTCAGACCTTCTCCCCCATCCCGAAGATGACCACTCTTCGGGTGCTGCTACACATAGCCGCTCACCGTGACTACGAGCTTCACTCTCTGGACTTCAGCACAGCTTTCCTACAGGGCAGCCTGCACGAGGAGATCTGGCTGCGCCGCCCACCTGGCTTCACTGGGACGTTTCCTCCTGGCACCCAGTGGAGCCTCCGGCGGCCAGTCTACGGTCTCCGCCAGGCGCCGCAAGAGTGGCACGACACACTGAGGACTACGCTTGCGGCTCTTGGGTTTGCTCCTTCTACTGCCGACCCGTCGCTGTTTCTGCGCACCGACACCTCTTTGCCGCCGTTCTACATTCTTGTGTACGTCGACGACTTGGTCTTCGCTACAGCTGACACTGCCGGACTTGCCCACGTGAAGTCCGAGCTGCAGAAGCGACACACGTGCACAGACCTGGGTGGACTGCGTAGCTACCTCGGCTTGCAGATCACGCGCGACAGAGCACGGCGCACCATTACACTGTCTCAGTCACACATGGTGCAGCAGGTCCTTCAGCGCTTCGACTTCACGTACTCCTCGCCTCAGGCCACTCCTCTGTCTACTCGCCACTCGCTCTCAGCTCTGCCTTCGGATGAGTCCGTAGAGCCGAGTGGCCCGTACCCAGAGCTTGTTGGCTGCCTCATGTACCTGATGACCTGCACGCGACCTGACCTTGCATACCCTCTTAGCATCTTGGCACGCTATGTTGCTCCTGGGGGACACTGACTAGAGCACATGGCTGCAGCGAAGAGGGTGTTGCGCTACTTGTGCAGTACGTCGGGCATGGGGCTCGTGCTTGGAGGGCGGAGTCGAGTGGTTCTTACGGGTCACGCAGACGCGTCTTGGGTCGACGACCTGGCTACACAGCGGTCGTCACAGGGTTACACCTTCAGCCTTGGTTCCGGCTCTGTTTCGTGGCGGTCTACTCGCTCGTCTTCTGTTCTCAGCTCCAGCTGTGAGGCTGAGATCTACGCAGGAGCCATGGCTGCACAGGAGCTGCGCTGGCTGACCTACCTGCTGACCGACCTTGGAGAGCCGCCTCGTTCTCCTCCAGTTCTGTACGTAGACAACAAGGCCATGCTGGCCTTGTGTCGGGAGCACAGACTGGAGCACAGAACGAAGCACATTGCTCTTCGGTACTTCCTTGCTCGTGAGCTGCAGCAGCGTGGTCAGCTGCGCCTTGCTTACGTGGCCTCTCAGGCCAACACTGCTGATATCTTTACCAAGGCACTTCAGCCTTGTGATCATCAGCGCTTTTGTACTATGCTAGGTCTTGTGCCTACTTGGCCTCACTTGCTCACTTCTTGACCTTGCTTGTACTGTGATCTATATATACCTGCACCTGCATGCTTACCCTTGCTAGGTTGAGATTATTGCATTGCTTGTTCACCTTGATATTTAACTCTGCTTGTGAACTGGCCTTGTGGCCTTGTGCTTGTGCTCAGAATGCGTGGTGACGTTGTGATCCACCCTGAGCTTGTTTTGCTTTGTTTCCTCTCTTGACTGGTCTTGTGACCGTTTGTTGTGTTGGCTATCCCCCACTTCGCCTATGGGGGTGTGTCAAATTATATGTTTAATGTTATGTAGGCTGTAGTGGGTTTAGCCTTAGGGGGTACAGAAACTTGCTCGACACTTGTTTGTACCACCCTCCAAACCCTAATCCATCATACCTTCATACTATCTTCACAAGTTGACCCGCTATTTAATCGCATGCCTTCTCATTATTTAATCAGTTCATTGAGTCACAGCTTTGTTATTCGTTTTCCGCGCAACTCATAACATTCAAGATCTCAGGTAACATTTACACGACGAGCATAATAGTATTCGCATGCCAATGATATCGCGTTGTTGTTATACCGTCCGTTTGTCGAGTCTGGACGATTTGGGAGGGGGAAACATGCAAAACGTTCTGTCGACGGCCCGAACGTACACGATGTCGCATGGGGCACAACGAATTATGAAAGTTACCACCCAAACGTCCGGGCTGGTCTTTCCGGACGGGCAAAATCGTAAAACGTTACGCACACCATTGTGCACCAGACCCACAAATACTGTACATGAACCCCCGTATGCCTTCGTGCTGGTCGAGGGGGCGCCATCCGTCAAGCAGTATTGACAGTTCGTCCAATTGGAAGCTCGGCAAAAGGGCCGTTCTTTACAACTTTGTTCCCAGCTTTCCGCAGGTCACACGTGCAATCATGGTGCTAGCGGCGTCCTTGCTAGTCCATTATGCGTGCATATGCTGCCTAGCCGACTCCTGCTCCTCCATTCAACCACCCGAGGTCAGTAGTCGTTAGACACCAAGTATGTTTTTGTGGCCGCATTTCCGTATTTATTTGTCGGATAAACGGTAAAGGTTCCAGCGAGCCTGCAGATCATCAGTGACAGGGTTACGCTTGTGTACCACCATCCGCTCGTTTTTCATGACTTCTTCACAGCCTGGTGACAGACGCCCGTAGCTGCAAAGCGTCAGTCGCAGGCAGAAATTGATATACGGGCTACTGCAGGCCTCGAAGATCTCGGCCATCCATCGTAGCGAAGCATCGTAAGGGACAACGGGGAAGGGGACGCGTAGCGGGAACGGCAAGGGTTCGAGCGTCGTTTAGCAAGTCACCACACCGCAGATGGTGCATCGCGACGCGTATGGGCACGCTAGAGTGGACGGGGTAGCTCATTGGCAAGGGTCCACGGCCGGGTCAAACCGTGCGGGAACTCAGGGCCATGGGGGAGCGGAAGGCACGGAGCACGGTCACGAGGGGGGGCGTGACGGGGAGGTTGGGGGGGCCCACGTGCAGGAGTATCTGTCGTCGCGTTACCACCGTCGCACAGTTTCGCAGCCCAACCTGGACGCGCTCTTTTCGCGACAGCTGCAGCATCAGCAACAGCAGCAGCACCAACAGCAGCAGCAGCGACCGAGGGGAGTCGTTTCCAGTCCGCCGCACGAAGCGTCGTTGTTCCTGCGCCGTTCCACCACCTACACCACGCCGTTCCCCGTCTCGTCTGCTCCGCCCGCGCCTGCCGGCGCGGCTGCAGCGCTCGCGTCTGCGCTTGAGCGGGGCTCCATTGCGCTTTCCCGCGCCCGCGATCGCCTGCCGCCCCCGCTGAACCTTCCGCTTACACTCTCCGCGTCGTCGTACGTTCCCGCGTCCCCCGCGTCGTATTCGCCCGGCGCCGTGTTAAATGACGCGCGCGAGGGGAGAGTCCTCAGCAGCAGCCACGACGGGCGGATGGGTATGAGCGGGAGCAGCAGCGGCGGCAGGGGAACGCCGTTCACCGCTGCGGCAGTAGCGGCTTTGGTGGCGCGGGAAGGCCTGGGCGGACCGGCGGCGGGCGGAAGCTGCGGCGGAAGCCCGCGGTCGTTGATATCGCCGCAAGTGCAGCACATGGCGGGATCGCCCAAGTTCCAGGTGGTTTCCCCGCGATTGCAGGGCGCCATGCACCGGCTGCTCATGGCGCAATCCGACCTCACCCCGCGCCTCCCCGCCGACGCCATCACCTCCGCAGTCGCCGGTCCAGTGAGCGCCAGCTGCGCGGGCGGCGGCGGGGGTGTGGGTGCGGACACGGGGACGATTAGGACTGGCCGATCGCCGTCGTCGCAGTTTTGGGATCGCGCGGAGGGGGAACCGATTTTCGACAAGGGCTCTGGGGGGCTTTTCAGCGGCAGGCGCAGGTCGGGCGGGCGCGGCGGAGCCGGGGGAGGCGGAGGGGGAAGCAATGCAGGCGGCGCAGGGGCGTCCGCGGGCGCGTCTGACGCGGAAGCGGATCAGTTTCCTCGGCACAGCAGATCGCACTCGCACTCTTATTTAAGCCCCTTCCGCAGCGCGCAGCCATCCCCTTCCCCGCTTTCCCCCATCTCCGCCCAGCATGACCGCTCCCCGCCGACACCTCGCAATCGCCACAAGCGCGGGCCATCGGAAGCCTCCGTGCTGCCCATTTCCGCCACATACTTGCGCGCGACCCCGCCCGCGCTCTCCCCCGCTGGGTTGATTTCCCCCGCGGCCGTAGGCGCAAGCTTGCGCCCGCGTTTCCTCTCGAGCGGGTCCCTCCCTTCCCCCGCCCTCTCCGCTACGGGTGTCGAGCTCTCCTTCCGCCGCACGCCCTCCCCCGCTCCTTCCCCCGCCTCCGCTGCTTCCGCGCTCTCAGCTCCTCTCCGCTCCCCGCCGGGACTCTCCGCGGCGTCAGGCGGAGCAGCATCTGTCGGATCTGGCGGAAGCCCCGCCGCGGGCGCCGCCGCCGCGACCGCGCAGGGCTTTCTGAATCGAGACTTCTCGTTTGGGCGGCGCCCCGCGTCCGCTGGCGCGCGCACGAACTTCCTAGAGAGGTACGAGGCGGGGGGCGCAGGCGTGGGGGATTCAGCGGGTGTTGGGGGAGGCGGAAGCAGCAGAGGGTGGGCGCCCGGGCGGGTGATCGGGGGCGCGGGGAACGGGAGTCGGGGGAGGTGGAGTGAGAGCGATGCAGGGTCGGAGGAGGGCGTGGGGGAGGCGGGGGGAAGGGCGGGGAGGGCAGGGGGAAGCGAAGGCGCGGCCCGGGTGCGTAAAGAGGGAGTTGCAGGGGAGGAGAGACGCGAAGGGGTGGATGAGAAGCAAGCGACGGGAGGGAAGAGAGGGAGTGGGAAGGGGGTTGGTGGCGAGAGTGATGGCGGCAGGGCGAGTGACGGCAATAGCAGCAGCACTGGGACCCCTGCAGGTAGGACTCGCAGCTCCAGTGGGAGCGGGCGGATTGGCGAAGAGACAATGCGACATGACGGGAAGCATGAGGATAGCCGGGGGGGCAAGGACGGCGAGGAGTCAAGGGAAGCAGGTGCGAGGGGTGGTAGTGGCAGTGGCGGTGGTGGTGGTGGTCACAGGGGGCACTCCCACTCGTGGTGGTTTGCTTCTTCGTCCTCATCTGCTGCAGCAGCATCCGGTGCTCCTGCCTCCACCACCACCACTAACAGCAACAACATCAGCAGCAGCAACAGTGCGTCTGCTGGCACGAGCCTGCAGCCAGCAGGCGGGTCCACGTCAGCGTCCCCGTCAGCGTCCAGGTCAGCGTCCAGGTCACTGTCTCTGTCGGACAGGGCGCGGAAGTCCGCGCGCAGCCTGGATCTGAGGCGGCTCTGGGTGCCCCCGGGGGGAGACGAGGGCGCGCAGGGGAAAGGGGAGGGCGCGCGGGGGAAAGGGGAGGGCGCGCGGGGGGAGAAGGGTGGACACAGTGGGCAGACCGGGGAAGGGGAGGTGTGCGCATCTAAGGATATGAAGGAGGAGGGAGAGAAGAAGGGGGCAATAGGAGCCATTGGTAGCGGCAGTGGCAGTGGCAGTGGCAGCGGTAGCGGTAGCGGTAGTAGCAGCAAGGCGGGAGGGGGGTTGCTGGGGGTGTTTTCGGGTCGAGGCAGGTTCTCCCGGCGCTTCTCCAACACCAGCTTTGACTCCTCCTGGTGGGACACTCGCCACGCCTCTGCTGCCCCCGCTCCCAACGCCGCCGCACCCGCTGCAACTGCCACTTCTTCTGTCTCTGCCCCTACCGCCTCTGCTCCTGGCGCTGCTGCTGCCGCCCGTGGCGCTGCTGCTGCGAGTGCGTCAGGGGAGCGTGGTGGTGGGCTGGTGGAAGATGCGGGGAGGGTCCAGGGCAGCAGCAGGAGCGGGAGTGGCAGTGAGAGCGGGGCGGCAGGCGGCAAGGAAGGTGGAGAGTGCGCGAGTGGGTCAGCAGAGAGAGGGGAAGGAGCTGTAGCAGGTAGTGTGGCAGGTGCTGGTGGTGTTTCATGTGGTGATGGTGGAAGTGGCAATGTGATAGGTGGGGAGAGAGGCGAAAGGAGGGGGGAAGGGGGTGGTACAGGGGCAATGGGGTCAAGCACAGGCAGTGGGAGCACGTCAGCAGCTGGTGCATGGGCACTACAGCAAGACAGCAGCACCAACGGGGAGATCAGTGCGAATCACCAGTCAGCAACAGCAGCAACAGCAACAGCAGCAGCAGGCGAAGGCTGACGGCGGATCAAAAGCACCCGCCACCACCACTGGCAGCAGCAGCACCACTGGCGCCAGCGCCACGAGCAGTAACAACAACACGAGCACCAGCGCCACGAGCAACAGCAGCGGCAAGGGCGGGCACCGCAGGGGGCGCAGCTGGGGCAACATGCTGCGAGGCGGCGAGGAGGAGCGAGGGCTGCTGGGCCACGGGCTCACGGACCTCAAGCGCCGCTACGACGTGGGCGAGCGCATCGGCGAGGGGCGCAGCGGCGTCGTGGTGCGCGCGGTCGTGGAGCGGCGCACGCGGCAGCGGTTCGCGTGCAAGTCGATTGCCAAGAGCACGCTGGGGGACGCGAAGAAGGTGGAGGCGCTGCTGGTGGAGGTGGATGTGATGCAGCGCGTCAAGGGCCACCCCCACATCGTGTCCCTGCATGAGGCTCTCGAGGATGCACAGGTGAGTCACACCGTAGTGGGAGGGACTGGGGAAAAGGGAGTAAGGTTGTCGTGCCGCTAGTCCTGCTGCTCTATCAATCATGCCCGCGTTGATTGGACTCGTCGTCTCCCCGCCTCCTCCACAGCGATCACTTTCCCCTTGCCTCATTCCTACTCATCCCACCGCTAGGTGACTTTTGAGTCAACTCAAAAGTCACCTTCCTACACATCCCACCACTCCTCTCCTCCCCACCACCTCCCATCCCCTCCCACATCAACAACTGCGGACTTCAAACGTCATCTCTTGACCCGCTGTTTGTATATCTTTCAATTGCCTCAAAAATCTCCTCCTTCCCACTGCGTGCCGTCCTCCCCACGGCGTGCCTTCCCCATGGGTATGAGCAGGACGTGCACCTGGTGATGGAGATGTGCTCTGGCGGCGACCTGCTGTCGCACATCAACAGCGCGCCGCACATCTCGGAACGTCAGGCGGCGTGTGTGACGCACAGCATCGCGAGCGCGGTGGCGCTGTGTCACAGCCACGGCGTGTGCCACCGCGACCTCAAGCCCGAGAACGTTCTGCTCGCCTCCAAGGCCGGACCCCTGGGCGACCTGCGCGTCGCTGACTTTGGCATCTCCACCTTTGTGCAGCCCGGTGCGATCAAGGGGGAGGGCGAGGGGATGGAGAGGGGGAGGGGATGGGATGGGGACGGGTGGGTGGGAGAGAATGGAAGGGATGGTGGGGTGGAGGGTAAGAGACATGCGTGGGTGCACAGACAGTCTCTTGTGCATCCATCAGGCAGCGCAAGCGCAGATATGCGAGAGTAACCCGAGTCTTTAAAGAAACCCTTTTCTCCCCCTCTCAAATCCCCACTGCACCCCGTCCTCCGATGCTCCTCAAACCAACTTGTTCCTTCCCTTCCTCACATCCTGCCGCTCCTCCGCTCTCCCCGCTTTACCCCCACCAGGGCAGCGCATGCGGGGGTACGCAGGGAGTCCGTTCTACATCGCCCCGGAGGTGCTGGAGGGGAGGTACGGGCTGGAGGTGGACGTGTGGAGCATGGGCGTGATCCTGTACACGCTGCTGTCGCAGCGTCTGCCATTCTGGCACAGCACCGACATCGGCGTGTACCAGGCGATCCTCAGAGGCACTGTGGACACGCAGTCGGGCGCGTGGGTGCACGTGAGCCGCGAGGCGGCGGGGCTCGTACGGCGCATGCTATGCCTGGACGTGCAGGAGAGGATCACGGTGCAGGGGGTTCTTGGTGCGTGGGGCCTGGGGGGTGGGGGATGGGGAACGGGGGTGGGTGGGTGGGGGTATGAGGAAGTGCAGGTGGGGGCTTGAAGATTAGAGTTACAATTTTAAGGTTCTGGGTGCAATGGGTCCTTGCTGGAATGTTGGCCACGTGCTCTTTGGTTGCGCGCTGCCCCCCCTCCCTCGCCGTCCGCATCCCTGTCACTTTATCCTCCCGCCCCATCCCCAACCCCACTCTAAACCCCATCCCTGTCTCTTTCTCCAACCTCATCGCCATCTCTACCCCCTCTCCTACCCCCATCCCCATCCCCAACCCCACTCCCACTCCCGTCCCCATCCCCATCCCCATACCCAACCCCACCCCCACCTCACTCGGACCACAGAGCACCCATGGGTACTGCAGCACGTGAACGACACGACGCCCCTCCCGCAGCCCGCACCCGACCTGCCCAACTGGAAGCTCAGCAAGCGCCGCCGCGCCATCGCCCGCTCCCGCGCGCGCATCACCCCCTCCTTCCGCCTCCCCTCCTGCCTCACCCCTGTCGCCGACGGCGCCATCAGCAGCAGCAACGGCGGCAGCGTGAGGAGAGGCGGCGGAGGCGCGCTGAGCAGCAGGCGGGAGGGTGACTATTCCCCGCGTGACAACAACGGGGGTGGGTACTATGAGGAGGATGAGGAGGAGGCAGTGGTGACGGGGTTCATACTGGCAGCGCCCCCAGGCGCCACGCCCACGGTGCCCCCAGCACTGAATAAGGGCGAGGAGTTCCCCCAGCTCTCCGCCGCCCCTCGCATGCAGCCCCTCGCGCTGCTCTCCCCCTCCCCACTCCCTGCTGCTCCCGCCGGCAAGCGCGTGGGGGTGAACGGAGGGAGCGGCGGTGGCGGGGGGGGTATAGGAGGTGGAGGAGGGAGGGGGAGAGGAGAGGATGTGGAATCGGGGGGGGCGGGGGAGGGGGAGATGGTGAGCATGCCATCGTCAGTGCCAGCGCTGCTGCTGAGCTCCTCCCCGTCCATGAAGCGCCTCCCACTCAAGTCCAAGGGCTCGCGCACGTAGCACCACCTGCACGCACACCCTAACTGGTTTTGCCTCTTGTCGTTCCACACGAGGGGCCGCGCGTGAGATTACCGTATGGTATATTTATCCGTCTAGTGGCGAAGGTGAGTTGGGATGTAGAGGTGAGAGAGAGGAAGGGGGTTGGCATTGGGCGGCGTGAAGTGAATCGTTGAAATTGTTTGCACGTGGCTGTTATGCATGCAAGGCCCGTCCCCAGCCAGCGGCCCCGTTCTCCCTAGACGAGTTTAGTACGCACATTAATTTGTAGGTGCTGCTGGGTTTGGTTTGAACCTAAGCCAGCTGTGTTGCTTCCAAAAGGCGGTCGCCAAGTTGCTTCTCCATTGCATCTTGGCTGCTGCCACCATACATCCACTGAATCCAATGCTCCCAGTTCCAGTCTAGCTACTGTAGTGTACGACTAGCAATGCAGGATGTGCAAGGACTACTACCGACATGCCCTGTATAGGTAGATAGTTTCCTCAGCAGTACCCAGCCAATCCACCTTCCTCTCCTCTGTTTCTTCTCCATCCCCCCTCACTCCACCCCGTTCCTCCCCACTCCAGCGGCTCCCTCTCCCCCTCCTCCCCCAAATCTCTCCCAAGCCTCCCTCTTGTCCTCCACCCCGCCCACCTTTCTCGCCATCACCCCTGTCAACTCAACCTTATCACTGTTTCCTGATCATCTAGTCTCAAGTTGATCAATAGCCCATGCCTCTCGCTCCCAATGACCTCCCTCAGCCACCTGTGACCTTTCCTAATCAGGGCTCTTGTGCCACATCCCCTCCTGCTCCTCCCTCAACTCCTGTACAGTCCACTTCCCACTGCCGTCCACTTCCCCTCCCATCCCCTCTGCACCTCCTGCGCCGCCTTCATTACCGTATTATTGTCTGGTGGAGTATATTCAGCTTTTAGGAAGTTAAACAAAAGAAACAACACACTATAAGCACACAAAACAAGACCATTTACAAGTAGCAACTGAATCCTCCCAAGCTGCGGGCCAGGCAAAAGGCCCAGCTTCTCTTTGCGAAGGGCTTCGGCTGCAGCACTTCCCACCCTAATCGCCACAACCTAACGACCTCTTTGCATTCTCTCGGCACCTTCCTTATTCCCCTCCCTTCCGGGCGAGCAACGCAATCACAAACGCTAGCAGTAATGGTGGCAGCAGCATCTGAAGCAACAGCTATGCACAGCCATCGAACGACCTGAAAGAGCAGCAAATCCAGCAGCAGCAGCAGCAGCAGCAGCAGCAGCAGCAGCAGCAGCAGCAGCAGCAGCAGCAGCAGCAGCAGCAGCAGCAGCAGCAGCAGCAGCAGCAGCAGCAGCAGCAGCAGCAGCAGCAGCAGCAGCAGCAGCAGCAGCAGCAGCAGCAGCAGCAGCAGCAGCAGCAGCAGCAGCAGCAGCAGCAGCAGCAGCAGCAGCAGCAGCAGCAGCAGCAGCAGCAGCAGCAGCAGCAGCAGCAGCAGCAGCAGCAGCAGCAGCAGCAGCAGCAGCAGCAGCAGCAGCAGCAGCAGCAGCAGCAGCAGCAGCAGCAGCAGCAGCAGCAGCAGCAGCAGCAGCAGCAGCAGCAGCAGCAGCAGCAGCAGCAGCAGCAGCAGCAGCAGCAGCAGCAGCAGCAGCAGCAGCAGCAGCAGCAGCAGCAGCAGCAGCAGCAGCAGCAGCAGCAGCAGCAGCAGCAGCAGCAGCAGCAGCAGCAGCAGCAGCAGCAGCAGCAGCAGCAGCAGCAGCAGCAGCAGCAGCAGCAGCAGCAGCAGCAGCAGCAGCAGCAGCAGCAGCAGCAGCAGCAGCAGCAGCAGCAGCAGCAGCAGCAGCAGCAGCAGCAGCAGCAGCAGCAGCAGCAGCAGCAGCAGCAGCAGCAGCAGCAGCAGCAGCAGCAGCAGCAGCAGCAGCAGCAGCAGCAGCAGCAGCAGCAGCAGCAGCAGCAGCAGCAGCAGCAGCAGCAGCAGCAGCAGCAGCAGCAGCAGCAGCAGCAGCAGCAGCAGCAGCAGCAGCAGCAGCAGCAGCAGCAGCAGCAGCAGCAGCAGCAGCAGCAGCAGCAGCAGCAGCAGCAGCAGCAGCAGCAGCAGCAGCAGCAGCAGCAGCAGCAGCAGCAGCAGCAGCAGCAGCAGCAGCAGCAGCAGCAGCAGCAGCAGCAGCAGCAGCAGCAGCAGCAGCAGCAGCAGCAGCAGCAGCAGCAGCAGCAGCAGCAGCAGCAGCAGCAGCAGCAGCAGCAGCAGCAGCAGCAGCAGCAGCAGCAGCAGCAGCAGCAGCAGCAGCAGCAGCAGCAGCAGCAGCAGCAGCAGCAGCAGCAGCAGCAGCAGCAGCAGCAGCAGCAGCAGCAGCAGCAGCAGCAGCAGCAGCAGCAGCAGCAGCAGCAGCAGCAGCAGCAGCAGCAGCAGCAGCAGCAGCAGCAGCAGCAGCAGCAGCAGCAGCAGCAGCAGCAGCAGCAGCAGCAGCAGCAGCAGCAGCAGCAGCAGCAGCAGCAGCAGCAGCAGCAGCAGCAGCAGCAGCAGCAGCAGCAGCAGCAGCAGCAGCAGCAGCAGCAGCAGCAGCAGCAGCAGCAGCAGCAGCAGCAGCAGCAGCAGCAGCAGCAGCAGCAGCAGCAGCAGCAGCAGCAGCAGCAGCAGCAGCAGCAGCAGCAGCAGCAGCAGCAGCAGCAGCAGCAGCAGCAGCAGCAGCAGCAGCAGCAGCAGCAGCAGCAGCAGCAGCAGCAGCAGCAGCAGCAGCAGCAGCAGCAGCAGCAGCAGCAGCAGCAGCAGCAGCAGCAGCAGCAGCAGCAGCAGCAGCAGCAGCAGCAGCAGCAGCAGCAGCAGCAGCAGCAGCAGCAGCAGCAGCAGCAGCAGCAGCAGCAGCAGCAGCAGCAGCAGCAGCAGCAGCAGCAGCAGCAGCAGCAGCAGCAGCAGCAGCAGCAGCAGCAGCAGCAGCAGCAGCAGCAGCAGCAGCAGCAGCAGCAGCAGCAGCAGCAGCAGCAGCAGCAGCAGCAGCAGCAGCAGCAGCAGCAGCAGCAGCAGCAGCAGCAGCAGCAGCAGCAGCAGCAGCAGCAGCAGCAGCAGCAGCAGCAGCAGCAGCAGCAGCAGCAGCAGCAGCAGCAGCAGCAGCAGCAGCAGCAGCAGCAGCAGCAGCAGCAGCAGCAGCAGCAGCAGCAGCAGCAGCAGCAGCAGCAGCAGCAGCAGCAGCAGCAGCAGCAGCAGCAGCAGCAGCAGCAGCAGCAGCAGCAGCAGCAGCAGCAGCAGCAGCAGCAGCAGCAGCAGCAGCAGCAGCAGCAGCAGCAGCAGCAGCAGCAGCAGCAGCAGCAGCAGCAGCAGCAGCAGCAGCAGCAGCAGCAGCAGCAGCAGCAGCAGCAGCAGCAGCAGCAGCAGCAGCAGCAGCAGCAGCAGCAGCAGCAGCAGCAGCAGCAGCAGCAGCAGCAGCAGCAGCAGCAGCAGCAGCAGCAGCAGCAGCAGCAGCAGCAGCAGCAGCAGCAGCAGCAGCAGCAGCAGCAGCAGCAGCAGCAGCAGCAGCAGCAGCAGCAGCAGCAGCAGCAGCAGCAGCAGCAGCAGCAGCAGCAGCAGCAGCAGCAGCAGCAGCAGCAGCAGCAGCAGCAGCAGCAGCAGCAGCAGCAGCAGCAGCAGCAGCAGCAGCAGCAGCAGCAGCAGCAGCAGCAGCAGCAGCAGCAGCAGCAGCAGCAGCAGCAGCAGCAGCAGCAGCAGCAGCAGCAGCAGCAGCAGCAGCAGCAGCAGCAGCAGCAGCAGCAGCAGCAGCAGCAGCAGCAGCAGCAGCAGCAGCAGCAGCAGCAGCAGCAGCAGCAGCAGCAGCAGCAGCAGCAGCAGCAGCAGCAGCAGCAGCAGCAGCAGCAGCAGCAGCAGCAGCAGCAGCAGCAGCAGCAGCAGCAGCAGCAGCAGCAGCAGCAGCAGCAGCAGCAGCAGCAGCAGCAGCAGCAGCAGCAGCAGCAGCAGCAGCAGCAGCAGCAGCAGCAGCAGCAGCAGCAGCAGCAGCAGCAGCAGCAGCAGCAGCAGCAGCAGCAGCAGCAGCAGCAGCAGCAGCAGCAGCAGCAGCAGCAGCAGCAGCAGCAGCAGCAGCAGCAGCAGCAGCAGCAGCAGCAGCAGCAGCAGCAGCAGCAGCAGCAGCAGCAGCAGCAGCAGCAGCAGCAGCAGCAGCAGCAGCAGCAGCAGCAGCAGCAGCAGCAGCAGCAGCAGCAGCAGCAGCAGCAGCAGCAGCAGCAGCAGCAGCAGCAGCAGCAGCAGCAGCAGCAGCAGCAGCAGCAGCAGCAGCAGCAGCAGCAGCAGCAGCAGCAGCAGCAGCAGCAGCAGCAGCAGCAGCAGCAGCAGCAGCAGCAGCAGCAGCAGCAGCAGCAGCAGCAGCAGCAGCAGCAGCAGCAGCAGCAGCAGCAGCAGCAGCAGCAGCAGCAGCAGCAGCAGCAGCAGCAGCAGCAGCAGCAGCAGCAGCAGCAGCAGCAGCAGCAGCAGCAGCAGCAGCAGCAGCAGCAGCAGCAGCAGCAGCAGCAGCAGCAGCAGCAGCAGCAGCAGCAGCAGCAGCAGCAGCAGCAGCAGCAGCAGCAGCAGCAGCAGCAGCAGCAGCAGCAGCAGCAGCAGCAGCAGCAGCAGCAGCAGCAGCAGCAGCAGCAGCAGCAGCAGCAGCAGCAGCAGCAGCAGCAGCAGCAGCAGCAGCAGCAGCAGCAGCAGCAGCAGCAGCAGCAGCAGCAGCAGCAGCAGCAGCAGCAGCAGCAGCAGCAGCAGCAGCAGCAGCAGCAGTAGCAGCAGCAGCAATCTGCCGGAGCCTCTGCTTAAAGCGAACGTTTAGGACGAGAGCAGCGGCGAATTCTAGGGCTCGGCGGCGTTGGCGTCGTCGCGCGTGGCGGGGCTGCGGAAGGAGAGGAGCGGCTTGCCCGTGTAGAGCACGTTGCGACGCGCCATGGCGTTGAAGCACGACGCGCCCGACGCGTACCACGCTGAGGTGGGTGGGGAAACGAAACGACGGAGAAAAGGGGAATGGGGAGGCAGCACAGGCGCGTTAACAGCACGTTCAGCCTGAACGAGTGAAGTCGATGACTTCGATGAAATTCTTTCGTATACAATGTTCCTACACCCGAATTAAAGACAGAAAACACGGTACCAAGGGGACCGTTTCCGTTCGTCTGCCAGGTTCACTTCTGCGCGGTGGCTATACGGCACAGTACTACGTCTTGCGCCCCGGTGCCTCTGCGTACCTGCGACGGCCGTGAAGATCCCGAGGTAGCCACCCGCAGTGATCCAGGAGCCGCTGTCGCCGGGCTTCTGGCCCTTGAAGTTGCCGATGAAGAGGCAGAGCAGCGTGAGCTCGAGTAGCACGAAGACGAGCAGCACGGCCTGCGACGCCATGAGCGCGCAGATGGTCATGTAGCTGTTGAAGATGAAGAACCCCGACAGGAACCACCCGAGCGCCTCCGATATGTCCGCCGCCTCCAGCTTCACCTGGTGGCGTGCCACGTCATATGAGCGGGCGCGCGGCGGCGGTGCGGAATTGGGTGGAGACGAGGAGTAATGAGGGTCGAGCGGAGCAAACATCAAAGAGGAAAGAATGAGAGGAGCAACGACGGGAAATTGGGTACGGAACAACAGCGAGCGCCGCAAGCAAAGGGCATTCAAAGCGAGGAGCACGGGAGGTGAGCTTGGAGGCGGGGAGCGTACATAGCCGAGGATCTTGAGCAGCACGAAGAAGCCGATGCCCATCCAGAAGGCGCCATAGGTGGAGAATGCGGTGGCGCCGAACGTGTTGTTCTTCTTGAACTCCCACATGCCCGCCAGTAGCTGCGCCAACCCGCCGTAGAAGAACGCCAGCCCCACCCAGATCACGTCGGGCGCCCACCCTGCGGCACCGAGGAGCGCGGTAAGGGGCGTTCCGGACAGTGCCAGTGAGATAACGCAGTGGTTACTACGTGCGACATTGAAAATTTCGGTTGTTTTTTAGCGTGACGGACGTGCGGGGGCTGAAATCATGCTAGGACGAAGAACTTCCGCAATTGTGGCGCTGTGCTTACCTGCATTGTGCGCGCAGAGCACGTAGGTGGTGAGCGCGAAAGCCGCGAGCCCCAGAGGAGCCGGATCGGCGATGGTTTCCTTCTCCACGACTACGCGAGCCTCGCCCTCGAAACCCATGTTTGCTGGTAAGAAGAAGGTTTGCGGCGGGGAGTGTGGGTGCGGAGTGAACACTCCGTAGTAGGCGAGAGTGATAACGCGGGAGGGAAGGGCTCAACGAGTGTTGTGGGTGGCGAAGCGACCGTCGAAGTGAAATGCGATGGAATGGGGAAATACCAGCAGCGATTTATGCTCCAACCAATGTGGATGGATTGCCGCTGGCGACAGGGTGGGGGAATGGAGAAGCTGGCGCGCGGCTCGGAATTCCCAAGTCGGGTTCCAGCACCTTATGTCAAAATCCGAGACTGGTGGCGGTGATTTGGTTTGGTCCACGTCATCTGCCCGGTGTCATCATCACCAGTCACAAGGATGCTGCCCAAACTTCTGACATATTTTGGCTGCCCGAAATCGATGTTTATACAACACCATATCCTGGTATTAGCAAGGGACCGGCAACTTGGACCACCTAGAAAAGGTTCGTAAAAATCCTAATGGTTTTTTTGTGCTTGTTGTTAATCTCCATCACACACCTACGATTGAAGTCAAACACAAGGCAGTCCACGTAATATACACGGGTGCCAATGCTGACGCATATCCAGCACAAATGACTCAACCCTAGAACACCGTGGTCTGAAGAAGCAGCGAGGAGCTTGCTGTTCGAGCCAGCCCCTTGAAAGGGTGGGGCTGATTAATATGAAACGAGGTGTAGTTTTAATCGTCAACGAGGTGTAGTTTTAAGCTGTACAGAATTGCTTAACGGAATTATTAGCATGGATATTATTGTGCAACATAAGCACCTTTTCCTATCAACATACTCGCTAGAAATCCCAACACCTAAATAACATGTTGAATGCAAAATATGAACGGCTTGCTCCACTCCTGCGTGTTTACCAGAGAGCACGTTTATCAGATATGAATAAACAGGCTGTGGTCAATACATCAGTGATTTGTCAAACAGACCATACACCGAAGGTCATAGTTCATATCATGACAAACTGATAGCTATTCGAGAGCATCAAGAGACAATGTATTTTTTTTTTGGCAGGATTATAACTTCTGGGGTCCAACTTAAGGTACATTCCGCTGTGGACACTGTCCCAATCGACGTGTCCCAATCGAGTACATTACCGCTCCGAACCGAACTAAACCAGAGACGCGGAAATTTCGACAATGTTTGAAACTAGGGTGTAATTCGGTGTAATAAGATGCAGTGCGGTAGAATCGATTCAGACACGTTCGATTGGGACCAGGGCCTATTTTATCAGTGTAAATCACCCTGATGCCCTGATTATAGGGGTGATTTTGTCAAATATTATAGCCTGTAGTGGGTTGGGCTATATGGGGTACAACTAGTTAGGGTTAGGTTATGTACCCCAATTCTGTCAATGCAACACATTCCGCTGTAGTTCTCATTCTGACATGGTATCAGCAGTAGGTTAGCGCTCCTAGCCCTAGGCCCGCCCGTCCCTACCACTAGGGTTACCACTGCGCCCCGCCAGCCCGCCAGCGCCCTACCCCACGCCCCAGCCGGCGCGCCCCTCCCCTCCCCGCTAGCCAGCCAGCGCACTAGCCAGCCAGCGCGCCAGCCAGCCAGCGCGCCAGCCCGCCAGCGCGCCAGCGCACCAGCCAGCCAGCGCGCCTGCCAGCCAGCGCGCTAGCCCGCCAGCCAGCCAGCGCGCCAGCGCGCCAGCCAGCCCGCGCGCCAGCCCGCTTGCACGCCAGCCCGCCAGCGCGCCCGCCAGCGGGCGCACCAGCGAGCCCGCCAGCTCGCCTGCCAGCGCGCCCGCCAGCGCGCCGCGCCAGCGGGCCCCGCCAGCGCGCACGCTAGCGCGCCGCGCCCGCCAGCGCGCGCCCTGCCTAGCCGCCCGCTAGCGCGCCGCGGCCGCGCGCCACGCCAGCCAGCACGCCGCGCCCGAGCGTGCCCCGCCAGCGCGCGCCCCGCCGCCCCGCGCCCAGCCAGAACGCGCCCCGCCTGCGCGCACCCGCCTCGCACTCACCTCCCTCTCCTCCTCCTCTCGCGGCTGGCGGCCGCTATCGCTTGTTCTCGCCCCTCATGGCGACGTCTCGCGTGCTCCGTTTCGACCCTGAGGGGCGCGCGATCGACTTTAGTACCTGGCTGACGCAGGCCCAGCGCCACCTTAGGAGCCAGCGCCAGGATGGCGTGCACCTGTTTGCGCACGCATCCGGTGCTCTGCCCGCCCCGCCGCAGCCTACACCGCTGCCCACTACCCCACCGCCTACTTCCGAGCAGGAGGCTGAGTACCAGCGCCGGTTCCTCGCTCGTGACGTGTGGGAGTCTCGTGACGCTGCTGCCTGCCTCGCCCTGACCGACCTTCTCCCGCCGACTGAGGCCGTCCACTTCACTCAGGTCGAGTCTGCTGCAGACCTTTACACTGCTATTGTTGCTCGCTACTCCACTCCCTCCTCTGCCTCCCTCAGCCGCCTCCTCGTCCCCTTTATCTACCCTGACCTCGCCTCCTTTGAGACTGTCGCTGACCTCGCTACCCACCTGCGCTCCCTTGAAGCTCGCTTCAAGGCCGCTTGCACTGAGGAACAGCTTGCCCTTGCACCCCCCCCCATGTGGCTCACTATTCACTGGTTAGTCACTCGCCTCCCTGACCGTCTAGCCACAGCCCGCGACGCGCTTCTCCTGAAGCACCCCACTGAGCTTACTATCGATCTTCTTGAGACCGCTCTCTCGAAGATCGAGAGTAACCTCCTCGCTGTTGCCTCCGCCTCTTCCGCGCCTCCTCCTCGTCTCTTTGAGGGGTGTGCGGTACCACAGCTTCCCACCTTCACTGCCTCGCTTGCCACTGCCGCGTCTTCTGCCTCTGAGGAGACGGCGGCCGTTTCTGTCTCTGGCGGACAGAAACGTGGCAAGTCCGGCAAGAAGGGAGGGAAGGGCGGCGGGGGTTCTGGGGGTGTTGCGGGTGGCGGCGGTGGCGGTAGTACTAGTGGCGGGGGTGGCGGCGGGGGTGACTCGGGACCTGACGGCTCTCCTCTAGACGGTGGTGAGGGGTTTCCGCAGCAGCAGCAGCAGACTCCTCCGCAGCTGCCACCGCCTGGACAGCAGCAGCGGCAGGGACAGCAGCAGCAGCGCCAGGGCCAGCAGCAGCGTCCGCCTCAGCAGCAGCCCCAGCAGTGGGGCACTCAGCAGCAGTGGGGCACTCAGCAGCAGTGGGGCCCTTCGCAGCAGTGGGGCCCCCCGCAGCAGTGGAGACCTACGGGCCCCCCGAGCACTGGGCGCAGTGGTGCCCCTTCTAGTCGGGGACCCCGCTCGGCCGGCCGCGACGTTGGTCCCTGTGAGTACTGGATCCTGACGGGTCCGCGCAGGGGCACGTACTGCGGCCGCCCTGACCACTCTGCTGCACGCTGCTTCAGCCGTCTCGACGACCTGTACGTCCTGCACCGCGGCCCGTCCGCTCCCCCGCCACCGCGCTGGGGACCACTCCTTGCTCGTGGTGTTGCTGTGTTTGATATGTCTATGGATGATGCTAGGTCTTATGCGATGTATGCTGATGTTGACTATAGTGCTGCTGGATCTGTTTACTTGCCTGTACCTAGCGTAGGATCTTTGCCTGTTGCTAGAGTAGGTGCTGGTGTAGGATCCTGTCTAGCTACTAGTACAGGTGCTCCCTCGGCGGACGCGTCGCTCTCCTTCACACTGGACTCCGGAGCGACGCAGTGCTTCTTCCGCGACAGCACGACTCTTACTCCACTCTCGGCGCCGGTTTCTGTAGCACTGGCCGATCCCTCTTCGGGACCGGTCATTGCGACTCACGCCACTACCCTCCCGTGCCCAGCTGCCCCTTCCGGTTCTCTGACCGGCCTCCACGTTCCTACTTTCTCTAGGAACCTGGTTGGTGTGGCTCCTCTGGCGAGACAGCACGTCGGGGTCTGGTTTGAGCCTTCTGGTGACACTGCAGTCTGTGTGGACGGTGACACGTACGCCCCTCTGGCCACTTTTCGTCAGGAGCCGGGCTCTGGTCTGTACACCCTCCACACCGACACCCGTCCGGTTCCCCCGTCCCACCAGGTAGCCAGGTCCAGTCAGGTAGCTGTGCCAGGTCTAGTTGTTGCGTCGTGCTCGTGTCGGTCGCTGTCCCACCCTGTCCTCCTCTGGCACCACCGCCTTGGTCACCCGTCCCTCCCTCGTCTTCGCGCTATGTCCAGTCAGCGTCTTGTCTTAGGCCTCCCCCGCGACCTCCCGCCGCTCCCGCCGTCCCCCGCTCCTCCGTGCGGTCCTTGTGTCCAGGGTTGACTGCGCGCCACTCCTCACTCCTCCTCCCTTCGTCCAGCCTCCGAGCCCTTTGAGACACTCCACTTAGACGTCTGGGGCCCCGCTTCCCGGCTTGGACCTGAGCGAGAGAGCTTCTTTCTAGTGGTCGTTGACGACTACTCTCGGTACACCACCGTGTTCCCTTTGGCGAAGAAGTCCGACGTGACTTCTACGCTGATCCGGTGGCTGCTCGCCACCGAGAGTACTCGTCGTCGTCGTGTCAGTTGTCTCCACTCCGACCGTGGGGGTGAGTTTCGCTCCGGCATTCTCGCTAGATTCTGTGCTGAGCAGGGCATCACCCAGTCCTGGACTCTTCCAGACTCTCCACAGCAGAATGGGGTTGCTGAGCGCCGGCTAGGCCTGGTCATGGAGATTGCCCGCACCTCCATGATCCACGCCCGCGTGCCCCATTTTCTGTGGCCCTACGCGGCTCGGTACGCCGCTCACCAGCTGAACCTCTGGCCTCGCGTCTCTCGGCCAGGGGCTTCACCGACCAGTCTTTGGACTGGGTCCCCTGGTGTTGCGTCGAGGTTTCGTGTCTGGGGCTGCTTGGCGCTTGTCCGCGACACCTCTGCGGACAAGCTCTCACCTCGCGGCGTCCCCTGTGTCTTCCTTGGTTTCCCTGAGGCCTCCTCTGACTTCACCTTTTACCACCCTCCCTCCCACCGGTTCTTTGACTCTCGTGACGTCAGTTTCGACGAGTCCGTCCCCTACTACGTCCGGTACCCCTGTCGAGGTCTCC